TTAAAGAGACGGGACTCCCGCCCCCTTCCCCCTCCTCTATTTCCCACCGATGCATACCTGGCGAACCAAGGATATAAAATCTTCCTGTGCGTCCGTGTGACTCGTCGGACATGTCGTCAAGGCACAGACCAAGGCGAGTTGCAGCCACACGGCCGCCTTGGGCCGGGCGCGGGGACCCGTTGGCGGTCCTGCTATGAAAGCCAGAGCCTGTTGCAAAGTTTGCACTATCATATTGCTTTTTAACTCCACGAAAACCACAACTGCCACCGTGCTCGGGGGTGATGGCAATCCTCCTTCTTCTCTGGCCTTTCCGCTCAGCAGCGTCCACTGGTCGCGTGACCACGCGTCGCGTTCCTCGCTGCTCACAACACTATTTGTGCTTCTTCTCTGTCGTTATGTTGGTCGAATGTAGGGAAAGTCAGGCCAATGACGGAGAAAGGAAAGGACCAGCACGAGGGGGTGCCGGTGAGAGGGAGACGTGGACAGTACGCAGGAGACGTCAAGCAGTCGCCATCGTGTGTCACCGGGCAAAACACGTGTCCGGTCCAAAAAGCTACCTAGTGCGTCTGGCATCTCAAAAGGGGGTCTGGAAACAGTCACAATTGTCCAACGGGTTTCTTCGGGCGCTAAGCAAAGAGGGATTGAGGTCTTATCTTCCACTGAGATCGGTGGAAGGAGGACGTGTGCTGATAGCATACTTCAAAGAGAGGGGGATACCGGCCAAACCACTGCCAGGTCCTGTTCAGAAAGCCTGGGCCACACCAAGAGACCACTTTCACGAGTAATGCTTCCCGAAATGCACATTATTGTTGCAAACAGCGCCCACGGGGACCTTCTGCTTCAACAGGTGCCAGCAAACTGCAAGATAGCATCGAAACCAAGCGGCCCGCCCGAGAAAACAAAAGTATCCTTCGGAGCGAGGCCTGCCAGCCATGCGACCAATTTTAGCCCCAAAAAATGCATGACACACTTCCCCAAAACATCTTCATAGCTCTGTCACATGTGTCAATGGGGAATATGAAACTGCATACAAATTGGACGCCCAAAACATAACATAAAAGGGCTCGCAAGTGGGTTGTCAACTTGTTGTGGATAACAGCCAGCGCCTGGCTTGACTTGAAGCGAGGTCTTAGGCCCCGTTGGACAGGACCGGTGCGTCTCGGCAAAGAGTTTTCGGATAAAAAGGCTTGCTGATGAGGTAGTTTGTGTGAATTTCCTCAATTGACTTTCTTAATGACCATGTCATGGCATGTTTGTAGAGGTGTGTATCGAAATGAGGCGCTTTAGGGACTGACTGAGAGCAGGACGATTCATTATAGAAGATCGTGATGGGAAACTTAATCCATGGAACAGCGAACACGGTACTCCTTTCATTGTATTTGATTACCACGCGAAAAATT